GGGCAGCACACAAAAAGGAATGGTCCCCCTTGGAGCGCTCTTGGGACACTCTTGGGTGCTCTTGGGGCCGTATTGGGGCTCTCTTGGGCCTCTCTTGCGTCTTGGGGGCCTCTTGGCGGTCCTGGGGGCCTCTTGGAGCTGCTCTGGTGCCTTGGGGAGCCTTTGAGGCCTCTTTTGATATCTTGGGAGCCTCTTGGAGGCCTCGTGGGGCCTCCTGGGCGTCCTTTTCGGGCCCTCTTGAGGCGCTCTTGGGAGCTTTGGGAGCGCTCTTGGGGCCACTTTGGGAGGACATCGATCAAGCAAGAGGGGAGCTCCAAGAATCGCCTTTTGAGGCGCCTTTGGGGGCGTTCGTGGAGCGCTCTTGGGGCGCTCTTGGGGCCGCCTCGGGACTCTCTTCGGCCTCGCTTGAGGCCCTGTCGGGCCATTCTGGAGCCATGTTAAGGCCTCGGATGGCCAGCAGAGGCAGAAAGGCGAGAGAACAACACGCGTTCATGTCGGGGGCCCCTTGGGGAGCTCTTTGGCCATTTGGAGCCGTCCTGGAGCGGTCTTGGGGCCTCTTGGAGCATATTGGGAGCCATCCTGAGGCATCTTGGGATACTTTGAGCCATCTTGGAGCTCATTTTGGTCTCTCCGAGGCGCTCTTGGAGCCATCCTTGGCCATCTTGGACGCTCCACCCCCTCGGGAGATACCCCGTCCAGTTCCAGGGGAGAGGGCAGGAGGAGGGGTAAACCCTCTCCGGAGGGGAGAGGGGCAGATGGAAGACAAAACACCCTAGACCACCTATGCCCCAAGTGCTGGTCGGGTTCCAGGGGCCCGCCCCCCAAAACCCCCCGACACGCCTCCAAGCGGCTCCCCGAGCTGCGTGGGCATTGGAAACAACAGCGCTGTTTTTCTGCCGGTTCCGTTTGGTTTTTTGTCCGAATTCGTTTTTGTTGCCGGTTCCGCCGCCCGTTGTTTTCCGGTTCCGGACCCAGTTCCAATCCTGGAGTTGTTTTGGTTGCTGTTTCCAGTCGCTGTGTTTTGTTGCCGCTTCCATGTTCAAGACATGGGTGGGCATGGCGAAACAAAACAGCCTTGCCGTTGCCGGGGCCCCTTCTGAGATCCCGAGGCGCGCAGGCGGCCACAGGGAGGCCCTTCCGGGAACAGCGGGCCGGCGATGGCGACAATGGCAGTAGTGACGTTCTTCTTGGTGGTGATGGTTGGCATGATGACGGTGATGATGATAATGATGATAATGAGAATGGTGATGTTGATGTTGATGCTGCTGCTGTTGCTCATGATGATGAAGTTAATTATGGGTAAAACGGTGGCAATGACGATGTGCACGATCGGCTTCGCGGATGTGAGCGGTGGTGACAGGTGTGATAGTGAAGTTTTGAGGATTCGGATGAGGGTGAGGATTATGATAATGATGATGATAATGATGGTAGTGTTGTTGATGATAATGACAGAGATGATGATGATGGTGGTTGGATTGTTAGGTATGATGAAGCTTGCGGTGGCTATGGTGGTGACCTGTGAGTGTGATAATAATGATGGTGATTGTGGTGTTGATCAGGAGTTTGATCTTGCATGTGCCGGTGATGATGCTTAGTGTGACCACGATGATGACGAAATTGATCCTTGATGATGATGATGATGATGATGATGATGATGATGAGAATGCTGGGGATGATGACGTTGATGATGTGGATGCTAGTGATAATGATGCTGGAGATGTTGATGATGATAACGACGATGTTGCGGATGATGATGATGATGACCACGATGTTGATGATGATGGTGGTCAGGATGATGATAATGGTGATGATGATGAGTATGATGATGATGATCATTCCAATGAGTAGGAGGGTGAGTAGGACAAATGATTATGATGACATGCGAGTTTGACGTGACGGCTTGGCCAGCAGCACTGGGTCACTGATGCTCCCCACCTATGATGTTGCTACTGCTGTTGGGGATTGAGCTCATGACGACTATCATGACGGTGATGGCTTTGATGGTGAGGAGGAGCACCAGTGTGAGGATGAGAGTGAGGATGAGGTCAAGGCTGGTACGATTATGGCTCGCGCTTGTGCAGGATGGCGCTGTCGAGGCTCTTCCAGTGCCCCCCCCCCCCCTGCCTGCGTCAGAACCTGAGCGCGCGCGACGTGCGCGTGATAGTTCCAGGCGAGACATAGAGCACACATTGATATACCTATAGAGACACGTGTGTATACACATGTACGAGGACTCGAAATATATACATGTATGTCTACGTACGTCTGTATATACATTTGCAGTCACACATGTTCACAACTATGTGTGTGCATATACACACATGTATATACATATACATATATATACATATGCACATGCATACATATGTACGTGTGTATATATGTATGCATGCATCTATATGTGTATGCATACATAGAGAGAGGGAGGGAGAAACACGTTACCCCAGTGCGACCCTACCTAGAAGTTGGGGCCCCTAGGAAAGCAGCATTAGTTGCTATGCTATGCTATGCCATGCTATGCTGCGCTATGGTATGCTATGATATGCAATGCTATGCTGCGCTATGCTATGCTATGCTATTATATGCTATGCCTAGCTATGCTATATCATGCTGCGCTGTGCTATGCTAAGCTATTATATGCTACGCTATGCTAAGCTGCGCTATACTATGCTATGCTATGCTATGCTATGCTATGCTATGCTATGCTGCGCTATGCTATGCTATGCTATGCTATGCTATGCTTGGCTATGTTATGCTATGCTATGCTATGCTAATGCAGAGCTGCGCTATGCTAAGCTAAGCTAAGCTAAGCTAAGCTAACCCTCTAGGCAGAGCCTAGGTAGGGAATTTCACCCATGCGAATTTCCCGAACGGAAAACTAAACTGGCAACGCGGTTGGCACACACGAGCGCCACAAAATACACCCACAGATCCAGGGGCCCCGGTCCGGCCATCGAGGCTAGCTCGGCATCTGTCGCACATAGCTTTTGCTTTGCCTTTCCTTTGCTTTGCTTTTGCTTTTTGCGTTGCTTTGCTTTGCGTTGCTTGAGCTTTGCTTTGCTTTGCTGTCGCTGCTGTTGCTTTGCCTTTGCTTTGTTGCTATGCTATGCTCTGCTATGCTATGCTGCGCTGTGCTGTGCTGTGCTGTGCTGTGCTGTGCTGTGCTGCGCTATGCTATGCTATGCTATGCAATGCTATGCTGCGCCATGCTATGCAATGCTGGGCTATGCTATGATATGCTGTGCTGCGCTATGCTACGCTATGCTATACTATGCTATGCTCTGCTATGCTATGCTAAAGCTCAGCGAAGCTAAGATGAAGGTAAGCTAAGCTAAGCTAAACTGAGCTAAGATGAAGGTCAGCTAAGCTAAGATGACATAAGCTAAGCTAAGACGAGATAAGCAACGCTAAGCTAAGGGGACGTAACTGGGGGAACCGCGGGGCGGATCCTGGGGGAACCGCCCGGGGCGGTTTCCACTGCCCGGCCCCTTCAAGATGGAGAGTAAGAACCCTTCTAGGCAGAGCCTAGGTAGGGAAACAACAAAACAAAACAAACAATATTCCCCGCCTTGGGGGCCTCCGAAAGCGCCCAGAGTGGGTCCCAGGACGCCCTCAAGAGGCCCAGAAGTCCCGCAACACGCGCGAAGAGGGCCCCTAGACGCCCCAAGAACGTTTGAAGAAGCCCAAGATAGCTTCAAGTGGGCCCACGAGGGGCCCCCCACGCTCCAAAAGGGCACCCAGAGGATCCCCAAGAGGGCCCCAGGAGGCCAACACTACAGGTGTTTGACAGATACCAGTTTATGGGGACTTGGCGTTTGAAATATTGCAAGGTTATATTGTCCTTAGGCTTTTGAAAGAGTTCAGCGTTTTCGTTTTGTCTGCCTTCCGATGCTCTAAGACGGCGCACTGTGTCCTCAAGACAGCGCCAAAGCAGCCCAAGGGGCCCCGTTGACGGCCCCCAATACGACCCAACAGAGCGCCATGACGGCCCACGAGGCCCCCAGAAGGGCGCAAGAGCGGGGATCCAAACGGACATTTCGAGCCTTCCGTCCCGAAGGACGACGAGATCCTTGGGGTGCCCCCAAGAAGTTCCAAGATGCCACCAGGAGACCCCTAAGAAACCCCAGGAGGCGCCCAAGAGGCCCACACCAAACCCCCAAGAGTCCTCTTCGAGCGCCCCTCAAAGGCATCCAAAAAGAGTCTCAGCATGGTGTTGGAAGGCTTTTTCAGGAGCTCTCGGGCATCCCCTTGGGGCTGCCCTAGGTCCTCCTCGTGGCTGTCTTGCGCGCTTTCCTGGAGCCATCCTGTGCGCTTGCAGCAAAAACAGCTGGGGGATCCGCCCTGCACGGATACCAGATACCTATGGCGCGAAGCCGTGTTGGACGTTGCTTCCACGAGACGAGTGGGTCGCCTTACCTGTCTGATACCGTGTGTCGTTCAATACCTTAACGCTTCCCAGAAAGGCACAGTATGACCGAAGGGTTCCCAAAGATCGCGCCAAAGACATTGTCGAGTGACGCTGTCTTGAAGCATGTGCATGACCTGAAATGTACAATAGTGGCTCAGGTTTGCGAAGGGACCTCAGAAGACACCTCCGAGAGAGTCCGACGGGCTCTCAAGACGTTAAGGATATCTTCAAGACCGCTGAAAACGGTCCACAGGCCACAAGTTTTTCGAAGCTTCCCAAGAGCTTTCTTCCGGCAGCTGCTCGGTGTATCTACTCGGTGAGGCGCGATCTTTGGGGCCTGCTTATTCAGCAGTCGTTGGTTCCTGAAGTGCACATTAGGAAGTACGCTCCCATATGGTGCAGATTAACAGACGGTAGCAGGACCGAGTGCGAGAGCGAGCGAGGGAGAGAGAGAGAGAGAGAGAGAGAGAGAGCGATAGAGACGGGCGACGCCGTCTGACCCACCCAACACTGATCCTGGGCCGAGGATGGGCCGCGCCGCGATCGGTGAGTGAGGGTCGGTTGACGCCTCCCGAGACGGGGCGCGGGCGAGGACCCGGCCCTGCTGGTCGACGCGCTGTGCAAGGATTGGGGGCCGCGGCGCCGCCACTTCTGCGGCAGGCTCTCGGGAAGGGGAAGATGCGCGGAGGAGATGAAGGAGGCGCGGCCTCTGTGGCCTTCGTGCGGATCCCGGGACAATCGAAGATGGATCCGGCGCGAAATCGTCTGGCGCGAATTACATTCCCGAACCGAGAATGTGGAGGACGACGAGGAAATGAAGGAAGAGGAGGAGCAGCACCAGCGGCGAAGAGGACCAGGCGGAGCTATAGGATGAGGAGGAGGAGGTGGAGGAGGAGGAGGGGGGGGTGGAGGTGGAGGTGGAGGAGGATATAGGGGAGCAGGAGGAGGCGGGGAGGAGGAGGAGGAGGGAAGGAGGAGAGGAGGAGGAGGGAGGAGGAGGAGAGGAGGAGGAGAGCGCGAGGGAAGGAGGGAGGAGAGGAGGAGGAGGAGAGACGAAGAGCGGGCCACGAGCGAGCGGCGAGGACTGGAGGAGGGAGGACGAGGACGAGGAGGAGAACGAGGCGGAGAAGTTGGAGGAGGAGGAGAGGAAGGGAGGAGGAAGAGGAGGGAAAGATGGGGAGGGGGAGAGGAGGAGGAGGGGCGGGGGGGGGCGAGGAGGAGCGAGGAAGGGGGGCAGGAGGAGGGGAGGAACGAGCAGGGTCAGCGAGGAGCAGAGGGAGCGGCAGCGACGAGGAGACAGGGGATGAGGAGGAGAAAGGGAGGAGGCGGGGGAGGAGGAGGAGAAGGAGGAGGAGGAGGAGGAGGAGGAGGAGGAGGAAGAGGAAAAAGGAGGAGAAGGCAGAGGAGTAGGAGGAGGAGGCGGAGGAGGAGGAGGAGGAGGAGGAGGAGGAGGTGAGAAGAAAAAGGCGGGCGAGGAGGATGAGGAGGAGGTTGCGAGCCAGGAGAACAAAGGAGCAGCAGCCAGGAAGTGGAGGGGGGTGAACAAACGGGGGAGGCCAGGATTCCTGAAAGCCATCGGGGCTCGTGCAGTTTCAGGCAAGCCGCAGCCGAGGGAGCTGTGGTCGGGCCTGAACGCGGGTCGAAGCCACAGGCGATGCGCGCTCGCCTGCGCAGACTGCCCAGCCCCGTCGCACAGCGAGGCAGGGCCACGGGGCGAGGGCGGCGGAGGCGAGGAGACGGATCTGGCGATGGGGGAGATGGGGGCTGGCCTGGTCGGGAGCCTTCAGACGGAGGTCAATGCAAGCGGGGGTCAGCCAGAGCCCTGGATGCTGCAGGGTCCTGCAGAGCAAGGGGTGCACTGGCCCAGGCTAGCGCGCAGGATCCTGCAGGATTCTGCCAAACGCGACCGATCCGAGCTTGCATGGGCCCGAGTCAGTGGATCACCCAGGTGGCTCGCGGCGGGGTGCCCCACATTTGCCCGCGCGCGCCCCGGAGGATTTCCCGATAGTTGGCGCCAGCAAGGGCTTCTGCGACCTCACTGGGTACACCACGGAGAGCCATCGGGGTGCTGCGCTCGCGCGGGGAGGAGGAGGAGGAGGAGGAGGAGGAGGAGGAGGAGGAGGAGGAGGAGGAGGAGGAGGAGGAGGCAGAGGTCATTCCACCGTAGAGGGGTGTGGCGCCGGATTCGTGGGGATTCGTTTTGGTCGTGGTGTCGTTGGCGATGGTGACCAGCCGTTGCTGAAGTGGCGGTGCCCGTGGTGACGGTGGCAGCGGCAGGGGTTGTCCGGGTGTTGCCAGGGGTCGTCCTGGCCCGAGTTGTCCCCAGCCTTGCGCGCCACTGTGGAGCACCTGGGGCCCTCTTGGCCTCGCGAGGGGTGCTCTGGAGGCCGTGTGGGGCGTCCAGGGGACATCCTACGGACACCCCGGGCCAGGGACACCGCTGGCAACACGCTGTGTCGCGTCCTGGCGATTGCAGCAGCAGTTCTGGTCACGGTTGCAGCGGGCGTGCCGGTGGTGCCTGCACATAGGTGCTGCCAACCGGTCCAACTGAGCGATGCCAAACAACGGGGTCGTCTGCGCCGACATTGGCGCGTAAGCTTCCCGCGTAGACTCGCGCGTAAGCGCCCTCGCTTCCAATGTGGCGGCCCGCGTAAGCTGCGGCGAAGGGTCGCCGTGCCGTCTGGTGTAAGACCCGCGTTTGATCGGCGGTCAATGCTGGCATCTGGCGAAGGCGTGCAGGAAGGGCTCCAGCGTCTGTTTCCCCCAGCGGGCGCGCCGACCGACCCGGGCGTGGCGCCTGGCTTGCCAGACCAGGAGACCATGGACGATTTCGTTGGTTGGTGCTTCGAAAGCGAGCCTGGCAAAAAGCCCGTGTCGCTCGGGACCAGGGCCCAACGGGAGTATATTCGAGCACTGGCGGACCCTCCTCGCTGACGGCGCGGCGCTCGACGCAGTGGCCAGAGTGACGGTTCTGTTCCTACACGGGTGTTTCAGCGCGGTAACGACCCGGGCCAACCTTGGAGCGCGCTTGGTGGTTATTCGGAAGCGGAACGGAGATTTGCGACCGATCTCGTGCGAGGGAGTGATGAGACGGCTGGCGGCCAAGGCGGCGCGCGAGGTATACAAAGAGGAGATACGACAGGCGTGTGGGCCGCACCAATACGCAGTTGGAAAGTCAGTTGGGCGAAAGGTCATGCACAAGTGCATTTTCACCCTGGCCGAAGCTCACCCACGTGGAGTGGTCTTAGCCTTCGGCTGCTCGAACGCTTACAACAGCCTTCCACGTCCTCGAATCTTCCAGGGGCTCCAGAGACGGGCGCCGGGCCTCCTTCGCACCGCGCACTGCTGGCTGGCGGCCGCCACTACGCACTTATACTGGGACGACCCCGCAAAAGAAACCCTGCCTGTCACGGCCACTTCGGGCGTGGACCAAGGCTGCCCGCTGTCACCAGCGTTTTCCCGATCGCAGTGGCCGACTGCCTGGGCGAGATCTCCGACGGCCTTCAATTGTTATCCCCTGCTTGCCGGGCATTCCTACCTGGACGACATCATGTTGTTCGCGCCTCCAGAGCACGCCAGGGGGGCGAAGCAGCTTGCAGTGGACGCCCTCGCTAACCACGGCTTGACGGTTAACGACAGCAAGACACAAGCGTGGTCAGCAGACTTGACTAATGACCTCCCAGAAGCGATGCGAAGGCAAAGAGTCGACAACCTCACGTGCCTGGGCAACACGGCGCCGTGGCTCGACCAACAGGAAGACCAGGTGTTAGTGCACGCAGGGGAAGACGGCGCGGCAGCAGTGCAGCGGGCGGAGGCCTTTACCCGCCAATTTCGGGACCTCCGGGAAACCAAGCTCACTGCCGAAGCTTACTTCTCCCTACTCCGAACCTGCGCTCAAGTGTGCATCACCCGCCACCTACGAGCCAATCTGCAAGGTAGTTGGGTGGAACAGCTTGACGCAGTTGTTTTCTCGGCGTTGGAACACTTGCTCCGCATGGGGCAACTCGACGAGCTCCAGAGACTGCAGGCCACGATGGGCCTCGTGGGCGGAGGTATCGCAATCCCGTCCGCCGCCCAGACCGCGCTGGCAGCGTACGCCGCCAGCTGGGGGCTCTCTCTACGACCTGGCGAGGTGCTTGGACGTGAGTACGCTCGAAGGGTTCCGAACGCGCTGCCCGCAGACCCTCCAGGCACTTGCCCAAGCTGAGCAGGCGTTGCAAGCTTCGGGGGCAACAGCTGGCCAGCCCATCGAGTGGGCCCAATGCCTCCAAGAGCCCCGCGCAAAGCTCCAGGGCATGCGGAGCAAGGCAGCATCGGCAAACAACAGGGAACGCCTGCTGCGGGAACTCTTCGAGGACGGGAGGCTGGCGCTCCGGTAGTGCGGCGGAGTTGGCGCAGGAGCGTTCCTCCAACCGCGGTCACCTGGAGATCCCTTACAGCAAGACGACAATTTTGAGGTGCACCTCATGTGCCGTCTTCGAGTGCCAGTCTGCCCTGCCGGTTCAAGATGCCAACGCCGACGACAAGACGCGACGCTGTGCGGGGAGGCGCTCGACCCCCATGGGTTCCACGCCAATGCGTCCGAAGTGGGCAGCTCTCGCGCTGGGCGGCACGACCGACTACGAGACCGACGTGCGAAACTACACAAGGACGTCGCGGGGCATGCCGCGCCGACGGAACAACGGGTACCTGGATGGTACCGCCGTGACTCCCAGACGGGTGCTACAGGAGGCACGGTTGGACATCCAAACGCATGATCCTAGCACTGGCCGGGCAATCTTCGTCGACTTGGCGGTGACCTGCGTACATTCTACTTACGCCCCACGCAGGCTCGCCCGATCCCAGAAAGATGGCCTCGCAGACGCCCAGATGGTCGACGCCAAACGCGAGCGGTATCCCCCCAGGAGGGCCTCGATCTTGATCCGACGGTCTTCGAGACCAGGGGGCGCCCGTCCGACGAGGTTGTGAGTTTCGTGCGGAGCTACGGGGCCGGTCTGGACGACGCCGAGCGGTTCGAATTACTCAGCCAGGTTTGGCGTGACATCTCCCGCACCCCCCAGCAATGCAAAGCGGAGATGATCCTAAACGCCTTGCGCTGGCAAGGGCTGTCATTACGCGGGTGCCGCGAGAACCGCTACCGCGACCCCGGGCACAGATGTCCCAACGAGGTCAACGACACCAGCCACCCATCGACTCCCACCACGATCGCTGCCAGCGCTGCGCGCGTGTGTGTGCGCGCGTGTGTGTGCGCGCGCGTGTGTGTGCGCGCGCGTGTGTGTGCGCGCGCGTGTGTGTGCGCGCGTGTGTGTGCGCGCGTGTGTGTGCCGGCGCTCTCTTCCCTGCGCCGCTCACCGCAGCAATTTTAGACACAAGTTGAGTTGTGGCAGGATCTAAACACCAGTTCACTTTCTGTAGAAGCGTCAGCTTGAATCGAAGAGCCATTGCATAAACAGATCGTCGAGGAACTTGTCTGCTTGAATCGCCGAGGAGCCCCCTTTCCAGAGTGGGTCAATTGCCCTGGGGCGGGCACGACGACCACCACGGCCACCACGGCCACCAGCACGGCTTCCAGCTCGCCCACTTCCGCGGCGACGACCGCCGCCCGCCGCCCCATTCGACGACGACTACCGCCCCCCGCCTCCTGGCCCCTGTTCTGTCTCCTTCCCTCCCTTTCCCCCGCCTGGCCGCCCCAGGAAGCGCTAGCGAGTTCGCCTCCTCCTCCTCCTCCTCCTCCTCCTCCTCCTCCCCCTCCTCCTCCTCCTCCTCCTCCTCCTCCTCTCCTCCTCCTCCTCCTCCTCCTCCTCCTCCTCCTCCTCCTCCTCCTCCTCCTGGAAGCGCTAGAAGCGCTTCCAGGAAGCGCTAGCGAATTCGCCTACCTCTTTCCGGCCACGCCGTCGGCCCCCCTCGGCGTAAGGGGTGCCCGTCCCCCTCGGGAGCCGACGGCGCGAGACGGGAGGGAAGGAGGGAGGGAGGGAGGGAGGGCGGGAGGGAGGAGGAAGGAAGAGGAGGATGAGGAGGAGGAAGACAAAAAGGAGGAGGAGGAGAAGGGAGGAGGAAGGAGGGATGAGGAGGAAGGAGGAGGAGGAAGGAGGAGGAGGAGGTGGAGGAGGAGGAGGAAGGAGGGAGGGAGGGAGGGAGGGAGGGAGGGAGGGAGGAAAGGAGGGAGGGAGGGAGGAGGAGGAGGAGGAGGAGGAGGTGGAGGAAGTGAAGGAGGACGAGGGGGAGGAGGTTGACGCTCTGGTGCCTCGGCTGTTTGCGGCGTGCTGTCTGCAGGCCACCCTCCGGGGCGCGAAGGCAGCGGCGCTGCGCGCGTCGCGGCCCACGGGCCCAAGCGGCTGCCTGCCTCCAAGACGGGGCGGCACGAGGGCCCGCTGGCGCGGAGAGAATCGTCGCAGGCCTACAGGTCGACACCAACACCAGTATCGGCGGTGTGCTTCCACCGGGGGAAGAAGATCCCGATCTCGGCGATGGTGGTAATAGTCTGGCTTCCAAGATGACCGAAATATGACCACCAACGCCGACATCGAGGATCATCTCCCTCCTGTGGAGGCAACCCCTGTGTTGGTGTTGCTGCCCACTTCCAGGCCTCCCAAATCGCGCCTCGCCCATCGCCGGGCACGATGCGGGAGGTCTGGGAGCGTGGATCCCAGACCCCCTCGAGTAAGGACAAATCATGCCGGAAGGTGTTTCTACATTTTCGGCCTCCCTCGCCGGGCCTCGGGACCTTCAAGCGACGATTCAGGATGAAAAGAGGTTCCGTGGAATAGGTCGAAGCCCCTGGGTGTCGACGTCATGAAAAAATCATGACGTCGGGTGTTTGGGCACGATGCGGGAGGTTTAGGAGCGTGGACCGTTGAGCATGGGCGGCGGCTTGCTTCATTTGTTGCCAGTTAGGCTTGCCTTTAAGGGGTTCTTACTCGGTCAAATGTTTGTGCCTCGGAGGGCTAATTTGCCCGATGCTCGGAGGTTCCCCGGGTTCCCTGGGTTGGACGGATTCCCCGGGTTCCCTACGTTCCGGGTTCCCCCAGTTCCCCGGGTTCCCAGGGTTCCCTGGGT